CCTCAACACTATCAATTCATACTTCGAAAATCCGGGATTGAATGTGTTGTCTTCCGCCAAAACTTTCCAGTAAAAGATATTCATACACTAATTCTCTATCTATGCTAGAGTAGTCTAGGAAATGCCAATACAATTTTCATACTGACAGTATAAGAAACGTGTGCACATAGGTCAAATTCTATGATATAATAATTAAACCCAAAAAACCAGGAGAAAAGAAAATGCATGTACATAGCTAACAAATACAGATATTCTGACTCTTATGTGGACGTGAGTCTCCTAATTAGGGCCAGTTTGGCATTGCTGTGCTGTGAAAATAATTGATGTCAGATTTGATGTGAGAGGAATTAGCTGTGAGAGAAAGCAGTTTGGCATTTGGTAAACTTTTTGTTAAAAGTGTTGTTGATATTGATTTCCGCATAATCAGAAAATGATTGCCGCATAATCATTAAACCCAGCCCCTCTTCAAAACTGATTCATGCATAATCAGAAAATAAAAGCACCTCATTAGCAGCTTTCCCTTATAGTTTTCTCTCACAGCAATTTTTAACAATAAGTGATTTTCTCATAGTTTACCAAATGGGTTGGGCTTCCCAAAATTTTTAAAAAATCACTTACCACCTCAAATAAGCAATGCCAAACTAGCACTTAATCAAGGAGATTTACTTTCCTATTTTTATATAAGTGATAAATCATTGTACAATTAGGAGATACTTTCTTAATTCTTTACTATATCTAATTCCTTATAAAACCCTCACGTAAACTCCTATATATACCTCCTTAAGGAGAAGAATAAAACCCAACCCAAAGTATTTAAACCATATTCATATTTTAGCATGGTATCAGAGCAATCGATCCTAGGTTGTCTCTAAACCCTTATCTCAAATTTCTCATATTCAAATCCAAAACCCTAAATCAAATTCCTCATATTTTTCCCTAAATCCAAATCCCTCAACTCTAAAGTCCTCAAATCCTCTTATCACAATCCCTAAACACATATTCTCAAATCTTATACACATACCTCTCAAATCCAATTCCTGAATCAAATTCATACCTCAAATTCCTCATATCAAATTCCTCAAATCACTATTTCTCACATTCTCATATCACATCTTACTTCCACTGCAATGTCAAAAACCTCAACGATTCTCCCTCTTATTGCCGACTCAAAGAAGCATGCGATCAATCCTGTTAACCCAGCTACTCAAACTCATGCTTCTATCGCCACCACCAAAGGTTCTACTTTTCATACATCATCTCAAAAATTCCACATGAATTATCGACTCGGGTGCTACGAATCACATGACTTTTGATCCTAGCCAACCTATTAGTCGCAAATTATCCACTCTGTCGACGGTGTCTAATGCTAATAGTACCCCCTCCCCTATGGTTGGGGAGGGCTCTCTATCTCTCTCTACTTCCCTACATCTGGATTCTGGATTCTGTATTACTTGTTCCATCTTTGGACCATAACTTGTTATCTATTGCACAACTTACTACTACTTTGGGATGTACCGTAACATTTTGGCTAAATCATTGTGTTTTTCAGGACATCCTCATAGGAAAGACGATTGGTTGTAGTACTCGAGGGGGCAAACTCTACTACTTGGACTGGGCACCAGATAATGAGGTCTTTGTGAACTATTGTGGATCAGAAGACTCTTGACAGAATTGGGCTTTAAGCTAGAAAAGCCAATGGAGTTGTATTGTGACAACAAGTCAGCTATCGATATTGCCCATAATCCAGTTTAACATGATCGAACCAAATATGTTGAGGTGGATAGACATTTTATCAAAGAAAAAATTGATAAAAAAGATCATCCGCCTACCATTCATAAAATCATAAGATCAATTGGCAGATATCTTAACCAAAGCTGTTTATAAAAGAGTATTTCATGACTCACTTACTAAGTTGGGCATTGGTGACATATATGCACCAACTTAAGGAGGAGTGTTGGCGTGAGTCTCCTAATTAATCAAGGAGATTTACTTCCTTGATTAATTAAGGGATTTACTTTCCTATTTTTATATAAGTGATAAATCATTATACAATTAGGAGATACTTTCCTAATTTTTTACTGTATCTAATTCCTTGTAAAACCCTCATGTAAACTCTTATATATACCTCTTTATGGAGAAGAATAAAACTTAATCCAAAGTATTCAAACCATATTCATATTTTAGCATCTTCTAGGATTCTCTTCCTTTAGGTGAGTCTCTATTTTGCAAGTCATTATCTATAACCCCTCCATTACCATTCTTTC